GGAATCTTAAGGTCCGGACAAAGATTTTGAGACAAATATCAAATTTTTTTCATTATCTTCTAGTTCAGATGTTAGGTTAAAATCTTCTAATACTGATTTAACAATTTTAGAACCATTAAAAGCTAAATCCAAATCATTTACACCTAATACTTTATCCTTGGACGAACAGGAAGTAAAAAGATTAGGGGTTAGAGAACATCTGATCTGGCACTAGTTCTTCAGATCTGAACGTACAAATTTTCTTATTTAAAACTTATTGTAAATTTCAATAAAATAACTAACTACCAATATTACATATACACTTCAAAGTATTAATTACAATCAATTTCATCTAAATATTATATATTTAGAATAAATAATATGAAAGTAATTACATATCCTTGACAACTTTAAATGAAAACCTAATCAAAATTATTACAATCATCCAATTAATCTTAACACTACCAGAGCAATTTCTCCTTATAGCATGAGGGTGAGTATGATTCTGAATTGAATTAATATTCTTTAACTTCTTCAATATAACATTTCTTAGAAACATATTTTATAAGGGTGAGTATTCTCATCGTAATTAGTGCCAAAATACAGTAAAAAGTATTAGTTTCAATACTCTATTAACAAAATCACAGTTGCAAAAGTTATATTATTTATACTTTAAATCATATAATATGCACTAAAATAATACCAAATCATACATTATACTAACAAATGCTACAATAAATTAACATATTATCCATCATATCGTCATTACTTTATAACATACACTAGGTTTATGTCACTTCATGCATTTTCACACCGAGCAGTGTGTCATAATAAGTGCATTACAACTATATTAATTAATGCATTACAAAACATGCATTATAATTACACTCGTCGATGTATTACAATATATGTATTATAATCACATTAATCAGTCTGTTATGACTCACCTATTACAAACACACATCTCACAAATTTATAGTTATTGCCCCTAAAATCTATTAAAGTCTTTCATAAATATAGATAGTTGCTAGCTAGCCTGAACAACACAGGAGATGAATGTGTGGCCTGTGATGCTTTCATTTTTAGCAAATCATGTGCACCGACTTACTAAAACATTCATCACTTTTATTTCTCGAAGATTTTTCAAATCATTTTTAGACTATATACTTCTAGTGTATTTCTATAACTATCTATACATATTCTCAGCGTTTCTCATAATATTTACTTTCTCAACATTTCACATAACATATATTTTATCAACATTTCTATTTCTATTTCGATAATATCAACAACTTTAATTTTTCATGTATACTCATTCACATAAGCTCTCTATTCATCAATTTTCACTAATAAAACATTTTTATCATTCAAGAGCAATCAAATACTTTTCATCAATAACATAAACTCATTAATTTCAATATATATAGACTATCAAACACAATCCATAGTCATTGTCATATATCATTCTCATGCAGATAATCATTGATCAATTAATTTCATATTATACAAGTCAATAAAATATGTCGAAGGTCGGACACTCTCTCGATCTTAATAAAATATTCTATCTTAGAGTTTAACATCATCCAGTATTCACAATACACATATTCAAAATAATAAATAGCAAACCTTCACTGTACATGCATAATATTCAAAAATAAAATTATAAGACTTGTAAAAATGGTTTTGTTTAGAGTCTTTACTATAAAATTATAGTTAGATGGTTCTAAAACCAATCATGAGTTTTTCGTGTCTAAAATCTCCATTCTTACACTTCAGATTTTAAGAAAATATTTGAATTTTATGGTTCTAATAGAAGAATTTAGTATTTTCAAAACTAAAATACTTAAGTAGGAATTAGGGTTTGGGATTGACTTTCCTCACTTGAAAACGAATCTGTAAGATCAAGTTCTAGAGATCCAAAAGAAAGGTATAACACTTCCGATGGAAGGTTTTGTTCAAAAGATGAAGATCTCTCAAAATATTACAAAGTAAACACCTTAGGATCCAAATAGAATAGATGTTCAAGCTTGAATCTGGAAGAGGTTCAGAGTGCAAGAGAGTTTTCTTTGGAATGAGAAGATGAGAGAATAGAGAGAAATGAGAGGAGAAACTGTTTCGTTATAAATGAAAATTCCTAAGTTAGAAGTTCTTTAAATATCCCTCTAAATTCGCGCGTTTTTGCTTGAGTGAAGTCAATTTTTGCCTGCTCAAGAAAACAGATAAGAACTTTACCTAGTTTTTTTATATTCTCACTTGAGCGAAATGCATTCTCGCTTAAGTGAGAATGAGTTTAAAGAGTTCTTCATTTTTCTTATGATTCCTCAACTAGACAAGTTTCATTTCACTTGGGCAAGATGACAGTTGGGATGATAATATCTTTTCTTGCTTGAGCGAGACACAGTTCATTTAAGTGAGAGTGCCCAAAATGCATGACTTAGAAAACTCTATATCACCTGAACAAGAAACCCCACACATAATTCTGTTTTCTAAAAACCAAGACAATAAAAAAATAAGGGTGTTACATAATTCATTCACTCAAAAAAAAAAATTGTTGTCTAAATCTTTATCACTCTCAACTCTTGTGATATCCTTACATAAAAATCTCTTTCTACCTCATTGTCTAACATTGCGATCATCCTCTTCCAGCCAATGCAATAATGCCTAATTTAAGTGGCACTATTGTCACCACTACCCTTCTCGGAAGCCATTCCCGGTGCGACCATAGATAAAGGAGGAATACAGTAAAAAATTAGTGTTGTTGGTGTGAATGATGGAATTGTTTAAGTTAAAGAAGAAGCTTTTGTTATTACTCAACATGCTTATCAATAAGTTCAAAGTAATTGGAAGGTCCCTAAAAAAAACTATTGAATAAATTAATATGTTAATATCTATAATTTTTTTTTAAGTTCCTATAATTGAATTTTTTTGATTAAATATTTATAATTAAATCCTTGAAAATTAATACCATTAAATTTCAGTTAAGTGTTATTCATCTTACGACAAAATCCTCTTTTATAAATTGCACATGTATTTTTTAAAAAACATCATCGTGATTACACGGAGAAAATTATTAAAATAAATTTTATGATAAATAATTTAAATTACAAATAAAACATAAATACAATTTTTTAGAAATTAAATGAAAAATTCAGGATTTTTAAAGAAATCAAAACAGGAAAAAAATTATAAAGAGACTATTTAGTCTATATGTATGCAATTAAAAAATTGAATATTTTGTTTAGAAATTAAAATCTTAACTTAGCCAAATTAAAAACTGAATGAGTTAAAGAGTTCAGCTTGATGCCAAATAGACATAAAAAAACTAAAAGCTTCCTCTAACATTCAGATAATTCTTTAAAACGAGTCAAAACTTTTTTTATGTCAATATGACTCTTTGAATTAGACCACTTTTTACGAAACAGTAATTTTTAAAATAATATTTTTATTTCACCAAACATAGAATACGTGTCTTCATATCAGACTATTGCTCTCAATAAGATTTTAACTGTAATTTTGTCAAAAAAAATATTGATTCAAATAAAGATATAAGACGAAAGTTTTAACAGTTTTATTATTTTTATATGCATTTTTTTTATTTGAAACACATAAGTTGATCCTCCGAATATCATTTTACATTAAGAATGCTGGCAACATATTTTTTATTATTAAATTAAAATTTATTAAAAAATATAAAATATAAAATAAATATTAATTTAACAATAAAATTCACATAATTTTAATAATTTTTAACTAATAATAAATAATATATTATAAACAATGTACTTCTAGCCTTAGTTACTTTAAATGTTTACTTAACATGTAACTAGAAAGTCAAAGTTAACATAAGAGAGCACCTTTTCCACTAGCCGCATTTTTTGGTCAATAACTAGCTAAAATTCTTAAAATACACGAAAAACCTAAATTCAATATTGTCAACTTTTTGAACAACATAATTGTCAGCTTAATTTTATTTTTTTAAAAGTAATATTCTCATGCTTTATCTATATTTTTTTTTTACGAAAAAGAGTATATATATGTGTGTCTTTTTATTATATAAAAACATAGATTATTTTCTAACTCAACTATTGAATTTTTTTATTTTCATAAATTTTCCATTATTAAAATAAAAAAACATTTCAACCTAAATATAAAAAATAACTTTAAAATATTAAATTATAACAATATATTTTTATTTTGTAAAAAAGATATTTAGTTCACCTCCTTAAGAATAATATTTGTGGACTTTCCTCCAACGGCTAATTCATCGCAATCTTTATTGACTTCAAAATTGCCAAAGACCTCTTAGTTACATGTCTACATCTTCTTTATTCATCATTTATCATTAGTACTCTCTCTCTCTCTCTCTCTCTCTCTCTCTCTATATATATATATATATATATATATATATATATATATATTAAATATTTAAAAAATTCCTATTTAGTGATATAAATTATTGATATTTTGAACCTTTCTCCTTTGTCATTCTTTTCCCTTCAGACTCCGAGATTAAAATCTATATTTTTTCCAGAAGAAAAGCTTAATTGGTCAATAAATTTAAACATTTAATTATTGTTATTACTATTAATTTTTGGTTAAAGGGCTACATATGTATTTTGGCAATATGAATGATTATTAAAGGCAAGTTGTAAGTGCTTCTATGATATTTGTGTTTTCGCATGTGGGTGCAGGGTGCTGTCTTTTTAAGTATTTATTGTCATTGTAAAATATTTAATTGTTTATTTAAATATTATTATTAATAATTTAATTATTGAATAAAAATAGTTTATTTCTTAAAAATGGGCAAGTGGGCAGGCCAAGTGGGCAAATAGGACCAATACACACAGATTCTACTAAACTTGAAAAAAAGTCAAAAATGTAGAGCTACAAGCAGTGTTACAATTGCATGGCACAACTTCATTTGCACTCACTCTCTTGTCTCTTCTTTGTTTGTGTAGTGAAATGTTTGCATGCAATTTCAACTCCTCCATATATAGCAAAGTCTAGAGCCCAAAAACAGCACCTTACTCTGGTATTCTTGCAAACTGCAAGGAAGTGTGTGTTTTTTAGTTTTTGCTCTTAAAAGCTTTGCCACCTTAGCATCATATTTGTCGTTGTGGTTCCTTTTCTTCCTATGAGGTATCTCTTGCTGCTTCTATGCTTTTCTACGTTGATATATGCTGCTTATGCCTTGAGCTCAGAAGGGTTGATTTTGTTCTCCCTCTTGAGGCACTGGAATGTTGTGCCTGGTGGCATAAACTCCACCTGGAAGGCCTCTGATTCCACTCCATGCTCATGGGTTGGAGTGCATTGTGATCAAGTCGACAATGTAATTTCTCTAAACCTTAGTAGTTATTCTATTTTTGGTCAATTAGGACCCGAAATTGGACATTTGATTCACTTGCAAACCTTAGACTTGTCAGGTAATGATCTCTATGGAAAAGTTCCCCCACAATTAGGTAATTGTAGCATGCTTGAGAAATTGATTCTTTCTGCGAACAACTTTAGTGGAGAAATACCTGAAAGCTTCAAAAACTTGCAAAATTTGAAGTACTTGGACATTTCTTCTAATCTTCTTAACGGGGATATTCCTGCATCCTTGTTTGAAATTACTCACCTAGAAGAAGTGTATCTTAACAACAATAGTTTAACTGGTTCCATTTCCCCAAGTGTTGGGAATATCACTGAGCTGGTCACACTTGATCTTCATAATAATCAGCTGTCAGGGACAATTCCCACATCCATTGGAAATTGTAGTAAATTAGAGAATCTGTATTTGGAAAGGAATCAATTGGAGGGAGTTATTCCTGAGAGTCTAAATAATCTCAAAAATCTCCATGATTTATACCTGAGTTATAATAATCTTGGAGGCACTATTCAGTTGGGATCTGGAAATTGCAAAAAGTTATCTTATTTGAGTCTTTCTTACAATCATTTTAGTGGGGGTATACCATCAAGCTTGGGGAATTGTAGTAGTCTAATAGAGTTTTATGCTGCAGGGAACAACTTAGTTGGCAGTATACCATCAACCTTGGGCCTATTGCACAAGCTTTCCATTCTAATAATTCCAGTGAACCTATTTTCTGGGAACATACCTCCACAGATTGGCAATTGCAAATCACTGGAAGAGTTACATTTGTATTCCAATGAACTTGAGGGAGAAATTCCTAGTGAATTGGGAAACTTGAGTACTCTACGTGATCTTAGATTGTATGAAAACTTTTTGACAGGGGAAATTCCACTGGGCATATGGAAAATTCAAAGCCTTGAACATATCCTAGTGTACAATAATAGCCTTTCAGGAGAGCTACCTATAATGATGACAGAACTCAAACATCTCAAGAATATCTCTTTGTTCAGCAACCAATTCTCTGGAGTCATACCTCAGAGTCTAGGAATCAATAGCAGTTTGGTGATGTTAGACTTCATGTACAATAATTTCACCGGTACCCTCCCACCGAATCTTTGTTTTGGAAAGCAATTAGACAAGCTGAATATGGGTGGCAATCAATTTAATGGTAGCATACCTGCTGATGTAGGAAGGTGCACAACTCTTTCAAGGGTGAGACTTGAAGAAAATAATTTTACTGGGCCTCTTCCTGATTTTGAAACTAATCCAAATGCCTATTACATGAGCATCAGCAACAACAATATCAGTGGAGCAATTCCATCAAGTTTGAGAAACTGCACAAATCTCTCTCTTTTAGATCTGTCCATGAACAGCTTGACAGGTCTTGTACCCTCGGAGTTGGGAAACCTTGTGCATCTCCAGTCTTTGGATCTTTCTCACAATAACTTGGAAGGTCCTTTGCCAAATCAGCTGTCCAAATGTACCAAACTGATCAAGTTTGATGTGGGATTCAATTTCTTAAATGGTTCATTTCCATCAAGTTTTCAGAGCTGGATAGCATTAACAACTTTAATTCTCTCAGAGAATAATTTTAGTGGGGGTATCCCAGATTTCTTGCCTGAATTTGAAAAGCTGAATGAGTTACAACTTGGTGGAAATATGTTTGGAGGAAATATTCCTACATCAGTTGGAAAATTGCTGAATTTGTTATATGGGTTAAATCTAAGTGCTAATGGGATGATAGGTGAGCTTCCTAGAGAGATTGGAAACCTGAAGAATCTGCAAACACTGGATCTATCTTGGAACAATTTAACAGGAAGTATTCAAGTTCTTGATGAGCTCAGTTCATTATCTGAATTCAACATCTCATACAATTCTTTCGAAGGTCCTGTGCCACAACAGCTGATGAAGTTACCAAATTCTTCGGTATCATTTTTGGGCGATCCTGGCCTATGTGTCAATTTTTCATTATTAAATGGGTTGAATTTCACTCAAAGCAGCTATTTAAGGCCATGTGAAACAAATTCAAAAAGCCTCAGTAAAGTTGCAATTGTGATGATAGCACTTGGATCCTCAATATTTGTTGTTCTGCTGCTGGGACTAGTTTACATATTCTTTATCAGAAATATTAAGCAGGAAGCCATAATCAAGGAGGAAGATGATTCTTCAGCACTTCTCAATAAAGTGATGAAAGCTACAGAAAACCTAAATGATAAGTATATTGTTGGCAGAGGAGCTCAAGGAGTTGTTTACAAAGCAGCAATAAGTCCAGACAAAATTTTGGCTGTAAAGAAGCTTGTAGTTTCTCAAAATGAGGGGAAAAGCCCAGGTATGATCACAGAAATTCAAACCCTTGGGAAGATAAGGCATAGAAATTTGGTCAAAATGGAAGGGTGCTGGTTGAGAGAAAACTATGGTCTAATTGCTTACAGATACATGCCAAATGGGAGCCTTCATGATGCTTTGCATGAGAAGAATCCACCACAATCTTTGGAATGGCATGTCAGGAATAAGATAGCTGTTGGAATTGCTCATGGATTGGCTTATCTTCATTATGATTGTGATCCTGTTATAGTGCATAGAGACATCAAGACAAGCAATATACTTCTAGATTCTGAGATGGAGCCTCACATTGCAGACTTTGGTGTTGCCAAGCTTTTGGATCAGCCTTCTACATCAAAACAGTCAATATATGTCATTGGTACAATTGGTTATATTGCACCAGGTAATTCTTCGTTCTTCAACTCTTCTACTATGATAACTTCACCCTTTTTTTTCTTACATAACTGCATCTTTTTTTTCCAAATCCTGCTAATTCTTATCTTGATTAACATGTTTAAATATTGGTATGTGACAGAGAGTGCTTATACAACAACAAAGCGTAAGGAGTCTGATGTATACAGTTATGGGGTAGTTTTGTTGGAGCTGATATCAAGAAAGAAAGCATTGGATCCATCATTTATGGAAGGAACGGATATAGTTAATTGGATAAGATCTGTATGGGAGGAAACAGGAGTTGTTGATGAAATTGTTGATTCAGAGCTTGCTCATGAAATTTCAGACTGTAATGTGATGAAACAAGTTACCAAGGTGCTTTTGGTGGCTTTGAGATGTACAGAAAAGGATCCATGCAACAGACCCACGATGAGAGATGTTGTCAAACATTTGTAGATGCAAATCCTTCCCACACAAGAAAGATGTACTAGTTTTCTTAAGGCATGTTTATGTATTGTATAATCATGACAATGTTTTCTGTTTTGCCTCTTCTGGTTTCGGTTTTAGTGTACAAAGGTTATGTTCTATTATCATGCACTTATTTGCATATAGGAAATAGGAAAAGATGATATAAGAGTGGGTTATGGATACTTTAATGGCATAATACATTTGATAAAAAAAAAAAAAGAATTGAATTTTCTAACATTGAGTTTGTACACATACGTGTTACTTGTATGTTGGTGTTCAGATTTTAACATAATCTGTACAAGGTAGAAGAGGAATACTACAGTTTTAACAGTAATTAACTTTAAATTAAAATCTAAGTTGCAAGTGAAATACTACATTTCAGAAAAAAAGAAAAGAAAAAGATTATATTAGTAAAAAGACTTAATTGAGGCTTCTCTGAAAAATGTATAATTGTTTATTTAGTAGTTTATTTCAATTCTTTTTAAACGAGCCTTCCGTAAGTTTTTTTTTATTGCAAATGGTCATTTTCATTTATTTTTTATTTTATTTCTATAAAAAATAAAATTTTCATTTAATACTTTATTTTAAAAAGATCAAAATAAAAATCAATAATATTTATGAAGATCAAACGAGAGACTCATACTATTTAGAGATCAAATAAAAGATTTTATAATAACTAAAAAAAGGCCATTTAATAAAGAAAATTGTATTTTGAAAAATTAGTGTATAAAAATAAATGAAATAATAAATTTTTTAAGAACTAAAACTTCATTACCAAAAATAAAAAATTATATTTCAAATGGTTCATTGGTTGAGCCTAAAAGTACCATTTTTTCCCCCAAAAAGTATTCCATAGGGTCTCCCAGCAGATGTATCGCTCTCCTCCTCCCCTCTGGATGTGGTGTCATTGGATTTCTCTGATTTTCTCGCTCTACAACAATAGTGTGATCTCCGTCACCCATACATGTTGTCATGAATTCCTCTGAATCAAACCACCAACAACATATTCTTCCCAATCCAACAACTCACCCCTTCAAATCAAAATTCAGAAAATTTACATTTCACTCACTATCCTTTTTGGTTCTTCTTATAGCAATCTCGTGGGGTTTCACAAGAACAAACTACTACAAAGTTCATTACTTGAAACACTCCCTCACATCACCAACCCTTTTTCATGCAATTGGGTCTCTCTTTTCACCCCCAAAACCACTTTCTATCCCCTCCCATTGTGTGCTTTGGATGGCTCCTTTCCTTTCAGGAGGAGGGTATAGCTCAGAAGGTTGGTCCTATATTTTGGCACTTGATAAACGTAGAAAAATGCAATCTTTACCATTTAGGTTGGCAATTGAGCACCATGGTGATCTAGAATCTTTGGAATTTTGGGAGGGTTTGCCACAGGATATGAAGAACTTGGCCATTCAGTTGTACCAAACTGAGTGTAGAATGAATGAGACTATTGTGGTTTGCCATAGTGAACCTGGTGCTTGGTACCCGCCATTGTTTCAAACCCTTGCATGCCCTCCATCATTTTACAATGATTTTAAGTCTGTGATTGGGAGGACTATGTTTGAGTCTGATAGAGTGAATGATGAACATGTAAAGAGATGTAATAAAATGGATTATGTTTGGGTTCCTACAGAGTTTCATAAGTCTACATTTGTGGAAAGTGGGGTTGATCCTTCCAAGGTGGTGAAGATTGTTCAACCTGTTGATGTGAAGTTCTTTGATCCTGCCAGGTACAAGCCATTGGATCTTGCTTCTAGAGCAAAACTGGTTTTAGGTTCTGGTGTGAGGAAGAGTTTTGTGTTTTTAAGTATCTTCAAGTGGGAGTATAGGAAAGGGTGGGATGTGTTGTTGAAATCATACTTGAAGGAATTCTCAAAGGATGATAGAGTTGCTTTGTACTTGTTAACAAATCCTTATCATAGTGACAGAGATTTTGGGAACAAAATACTGGATTTTGTGGAGAATTCTGATGTTGTAGAACCAGGTAGTGGCTGGGCTCCGGTGTATGTTATTGATACACACATACCACAAAGTGACTTGCCAAGAGTTTACAGGGCAGCTGATGCTTTTGTTCTTCCATCCAGAGGAGAAGGATGGGGGAGACCACTGGTGGAGGCCATGTCAATGGCATTGCCAGTGATTGCCACAAATTGGTCTGGGCCAACTGAATATTTGACAGAGGCTAATAGCTATCCACTACCTGCGGATAGAATGATTGAAGTAATGGAAGGTCCATTCAAGGGACATCTTTGGGCTGAACCTTCTGAGTATAAACTTCAGGTTCTTCTAAGGCAGGTGATGAATGATCTCACTGAGGCTACAGACAAAGGCAGACAGGCAAGAGAGGACATGATCAGACGGTTCTCACCTGAGATTGTGGCAGACATTGTCATGGACCACATACAAAACATACTAGAGCGATAAGACTGAAAAAGTTTCTGGTTCTATTGCTACTCAGCTGTTATGCTCTAAACCTGTTTTGTGATTCACACTCACAAGGAGATTTAGGTTCTAAGTGGACAGATTGTAGACTTCTCAGAAATTGATTGGGGCTCAGCAACTTAACCACTGGAAAGTAATTTCTTCATTAGTTAATTCTTTTTCTTTCTAGAATTTTCTTTGAAAGGCATATGCATTCATGGAAGAACACAGAACTGTTTCTCATGCTAAGTCTCCATCACTTTGGAACAATATCTGACTGTTTAAAAGGGGTTTTGACAAGATGCACGGCATCTTTCATGCTTCCTCTTTTTTTATCAACTTGACAAAAACATATAATTCCTTTCTTGTGCAAAGGTGACACAGTTATCCAGCAACCCATCATCTACCCAGTGCATCGATACATAAACCATTGTCATTGTTTTTCCAGTCTTAAGTGTTGAAATTGGTCGAAGATTTTAAGGAAATGCACCTATTTTTAGTCTAAAAAGCAGGAACAATTCTTTGGAATTAGAAATGTTGCAATTTAATCCGAGTCTGCAGTTTTTGTGATTTGAATATGTATTCATTTGATTTTAATCAAGCAATTGTGAAGGTGAAGTATCTCGGTTGATATAGATTGAATTGCAAACTTGGAACAGTATCCTCCAAGATGTTATTAGGACATTATTTTTCGAATGTGTTCATATAATGTTGTAACCAGTTGACTGTTTGTTCTGGTACAGGACATTAAGATGGATTCTTAAGTCATGCCTTCACAGTCAATCAAAGATTGCATCCCTGAAGATCTTGTATGTTCTTATTGTGCTTGTTTTGAACTTGCAAAATTCTGATTGAGTCATAGTTATATGTTTGGTGCCCATAGATATGCAGGGGTGTTTCAAAGTATCTAGATTTCTCACTTCTCCCAAATAATTATGGTTCAATACTATTTTGTCAGTTGAATTCAACAAACCTCCATGCACTCTCCAAGTATGTAACATACCTGCAACATCATAACTCATTATATAAAGTTTAAAATATCTTTAATCCTAGAACGAATTAATTTATCTTACAAAATTTCTCACCCAGGACCAGTTTACATTCATTCAATTTTATTAATGCCACAAGTGCATTAAGTACAGGAACTAATCAAGGACTAATTTAACAACTATTTATATACTCGTAAATCATAACTAATTAACTATAGTTGACTAACAAGTCTTACTAAGAGCTACTTTTTCCTGTTCCGACTGTTAATAATAATTTACAGAAAAGCAAGTGGTGAAAATTGAATTGCCCTTTTGATGATTTGTACTTGTGTCAATTAGCTACTCGACTGTTGTTAATGGCTCTCAAAAGTTGATCTGTTATTCGCTTTCCCCATTGCAAGGGTGTTTCAATTGCTTATTGTTAACTTAATACATATTTTATATGGGATATAGATTTTATTCTTTCGTAATACGCAATTGTAGAAATATCCTTTGATATTTGCTTCATTTTTGAACTGAAAGTCCACGTAGTATGTTCTCAAACCTTATTGATAAGTTCCAATTGTTTATATTCATAGATTATCCTTACTTGGTAGGTACTGAACAAGTCATCCATTGCATGCACGCTTGTATAAAGCATAACCGAATTTTCATGTCTAGCATTTGTGATAAACAGGACTTACGACTCAAATGCGTTCTCTGCCTTGGAGCTTGTGATTTGCTGAATGATTCTTAAATATTATGCCTAAATGCTTTTAAGAGGTTCAAGAATGAATAATGATGATTTTAAGAGTTTTTTGTGTTTCAGCGAAGAACACTCCTGTATTCTTGAGTTGTGCCTACGTTTACTTATGTATGGAGAGATTGAGTGTATATTCCTTTTTTCTTTTACAAAACGTACGTGGATGTCGTTATTCTTGGTGAAAAAGAAGATAGTGCAATGCTTGGAGAGCCTAAAGTTGAAAGAAAACCACTTGTAACTAGTTTAAAGCAAATAATTGGATTCAAAAGAACAATTGGGTTTGACATCTCACCTTCGGTGAATATTAAATATACACTGCAGTAAAAGGCAAAACGTTATAAATGTAGTTTTTGTAAGTTATTTTATATATTTAAATTCTGCTGCTTATACCTTTGGAAGTGCATTTTGCAACACTTTTGCTGCAAAATCTTGATCCAATCCATTCATAAATCATCTTTTGACTACAATAACCTATTTAGTGGAGCGATGCAAAGCTGAGAGATCTCAATACTTGGTGACAAATTCCAGAAGTAGCTTTGATTGAAGCAATGGAGTTACAAAATGCGTAACTCCAATCAATCCAGTGAAAGTTTAACTTTTTTTATAAAAAAAATCCCTTATCTCTTTTAGTTTCATAAGAGAGTTTTATTTTATTTTATTTTTGTTTAAAATAATTTATTCCAAACATGGCTTAGATTTGTGGCTGTCTTCGATTGAAAACACATGAAAATTGTTCAGCGCCGCCATAATAAATTTCTCCCAAGACATATATATCTGTATACAAAATAGAACTTCCCATAAGTTTTAATTTTAACAAAAATCGGTTTTTACTGTGTACCCAAAGGGACATGGGATTCGTAGGTTGGTAAGTAATCACAAAATTCATTCTCATACCCTTCTTGATAACAATGACGTGTTACGTGTCATATTTTATCATGACAACAAAAGTGGACAGATGCATAGACACATAATAAATAGCCCTCTTCGCCTGTCCTATGGCTATGGCAAAGAGGAGACAGAGAGAATAATGTCTAGGCACATTATTTTTAAAGCAGCCCACAGAATTATCCAAGGCACCTGTCACGTGGAAGCCATAACAGATAAGATTATTGGAGATATGGAGCAAACACACCAAGGACTTCCTTGTAGACAGGCTTCTTGAAATCCACTGCCTACATGACAAGATAAACCAAGTCATACCATTGGCTTTGGACAAGTATGAAAAAAGTTATCATCATCCCGTATACTCACAAGCTCAATCATTTGTTCCGGTGATATCCACGACCATTCCCCAAACTCAGCTTTCTCAGTACCATCACCCAAAAGATTGATTTCTTGATCTTGCCCGGTGAACTTTAAAAGAAACCTGTGGATATGAAGATTCGAAAACACCGTTTAGCAAAGCCAAAACAAAATATCCCTTCTAGTATGCCTTCCAATTCCAATACCTTCACCCCTGCACTCACCCAAATTTTCGCACACAACGACAGATATAGGCATTTATGTAAAGGTAAATAATTCTCATGAGTAAGAACAAGATAAAAAATAATAATAGACGTGATGATATTAGAGTAACACCTATAGTGGTAAAGATGATTGAAAAGTGAAAATTGTCTTAAGTGATTTGGTCACTTGTAAAGAAAACCTTTTGAAGCACTAGTGAGACGAGTTGATGTCATGAATTTTAGTCTAGAAGAAAAGGATAAATGAAAACTCAAAAAAACCTTAGAGGAAATTATTAAAAGAAATTTTTTTATTAATAATATTCCTGAAATTTTAGTTTTAACGTCATGTAATTCATATAACCAACCTCACCCGGTGAGATAAAGTTTAGTTATTGTAAGGACAAATATAGGCATGACTTTAAAGCCTACTCATGAAAAGGAGGGGAAAACAAAACCATTCGGTCAAAAAAATGTAATGCCAACAAATTGTTATTTGATTGGTTCTAGGTAGTTAAACATTATATAATTTGGTTGTGCACCGTTCTTATGAGTTTTATTCCATCCAGACAGACCATATCCAAATGTTTACCATTTCTGCGCCTGACCCTTCCAATCAGTTCCCCACTGAATATTTAGTTTCTCCCTGACTTTTGGTGGGAAGTCATAAGTTAACCAATAAGGTACCTACAATAGAAAGCCACCAAGATGAACATTTATCATTACAGCAAGAAAAAAAGGTTGCTTTATTAGGATTTTGTGCTAGATGAAAACTAATAATGTCAGTGAATCAGTTAATTGACATAGATAGATCAAAAACAATGATTAGATTTGGATGTAACTCTAGCATACCTAGCAGCATGAGGAAGGAGCTGATTATTTTCTTTGACACACCTCAAAGGCCATTGAACCTGAGGGTTTAATGAACAGCTGCAAACTCCTTTCAATGGAAGCATTTTTAATGATAATGGGAGTTATAAAACATTCATAGGCCTCACCAATTAATGAAGTTTTTGTAATATTATCCATGTTGGTCCTCCAAAGGTGTATGCAACATCACATTGGTCCCCCTTTTACCAATACATCAAATCAGTTCTCAAAGGATATGTGTAACATCAAATTGTTCGATGAACAACATAACTGATGCCATTAATTATCATTGGACCAATTCGATGTTGCTGATAAACAGAAGATCAATGTGATCATTGACATGGTATCTCAGTGTGTATGATCTAGCAGTCGGGTTTGATCCTTGCTGTTCTCATTCTTAGAACTTAAACTGTATTTTGCCTATCAAGTCCCAAGTGTTTCTATGTGAAGTGGGGAGCTAGAGATATAAACCATTCATAGGCCTAGTTTAAGCTTTAAGGTTGAGTTTGTCTGTGAAAATGGTTTAGTAGGTTCCATATCGAAACTCGAAAGACTTAATCTAGGCAGGAAGCACCTGATATTACAAGGAAACTTAGATATCTAGACATATCTCTATGAGAACTCAAGAATATTCGAAGGTAAAGTGTTTTTCAACTTTGATTATTACGCTAGATTGAGGCAGGTAAGCTAGTTTCTCTATCTTATCTTTATATTATTCCTTGTACTACCGTTCACAGTTGTGAGTTTCAGATTTCTTTCAACTTGCTGCCTCAAGAATAAATACATACTTTTACAAAATTAAAAAGGTACCAACTTATCAAAATTCCTTTCGTTACCCTCCACCAGAAATCAACTGTGAGCTATCTAAAACCTTAGTCTTTGGCTGTCAGGAAAAAAAACTCTAAAATATCGCTGTTTTAAGATTCAAGTATCACACCTAAGCAATTCTAGCAAAGGTTAATATATGCAAAAAAAAAAACCATCAAAAGGCCTTCCCAGTTCACTCGTTCCAAAGCCTCTAAATCTAATCAATAAAAATAAATATGGATGCAGCAACAGAACAAAGTGCGCGTATCCTTGTACAAAGCTGATATGGGTATTCTAAAAGCAAGGCGAGATGTAGCAGTTTAACTAACAGAAATATTTCAACCAGTATGAAAAATGATTTGGCACTTGCAAATTATGACAACAGCCAGGTAGTAGGGTGCTAGCAAGTAAAGAAATTTATAATTTGCACCTCTGCAATCACTTCGGCCGAATTAACTCCCGTCTCTTCTCTTAATTCCCTGATAGTTGCATTTCTTGGATCCTCACCTTCATCAATACCCCCCTAAAATGTGCCACATTAAGATGAATACTTACATACTTACAGTACACCATTCCAAGTCTTTTACCCTTTTCTTCATAAGCTACCAAAAATAAGTACGTTAAACCAGACATTCATGTTTGGAACGGATTATTTTTGAGGAAATACCACTTGTTCTATAAGTTATCAGATAAAGATGTAAAAATAATAATAATAATTATTATTATTATTATGATTTTTTTTAACGTGTGCCCAGTAAGAACCTATACATATCAAGCTTTTGAAAATTACAAAATATCACAGTATCCAATGCATGTTATAATTTTATTAAAATTATGCGTCATTTGAGGTATGCTAGAAAATTTGTTATTATTATTATTATTTTGTGAAATTAAGTTAAAATAGTAGTTTAACAGAGAGAAAAGAAACGGTACCTGGGGCATTTGCCAAGCATTGGGTATATCGAGCCTGGAAGCCGCGAAAATCTGCAAAATAAAAATGATTAAGCATTGATTGGGTGAATAAAGGCATAAGAGAGAGAGATTGCAATTGCAAAACCTTTTTCTCATTATTCATTAGACAGATACCAACGTTCCTCCGATAACCTTCTGGAGGAGCATCCATCGTTGCGAAGGAGAATTTCTGGTATTTGGAAGGGTATTTCCGAAAACGAAAAGTAGTGGCGCAAACAGAAGCAGAAGCAGAAGAGCAAGCTATTCTGCATAAAGCCATCACATCAGAGTGGGAGCACCGAAATGATAACCGTAAATGTTTCTGCTCTTTCTCAATCTCAACCCCATCCTAGCCCAGTTATCTACCAGGCCCAGCTTTACAGTTTTAGTCCAAACAAAATAACCACTCTTGGGGTGGATTAAAAATATTTCTTGCTCGGGTGACCATAAATTTGATTATACTCTTCTTAAATATACTGCTAAAATAGATATATTTACAGTGATAATTGTTTTGATGTCTTAAAATTTTAGTATATTTATATCTTTTAAAAATAAATTAATAATTACCACTATTTATTATACATATTTAATGTAGCATTAATAATGATAATTATTGCACATTTAAAAGACACAAAATATTAAAGAAATTATTTAAAGTACTTTCTAACTGCAAGCTCAATAATGATAATATGATAATTGATAAAATTAAAATAAAGCTTGATTATCTTTTTAGTCTTTATAGAAGTAGTATATTTTGGTATAAGTCTTTAAAAAAAATTATTAAGATTTAGTCCTTTATATTTTTAAAATATAAGAATTTATTCTCTATTATTAATTATACTTTGTTAAATAATAAGTTAGATAATAGAAATTTAACTCATCACTGTAATGTAATAATTATTTTTTATATTTTATTATTTACATATTATTTTTTACAAAATATGTCAAAAAATATTTATATCATTTTAAAATATTAACATTATTTCAAAATATATTATTCAACCTCTTTCTAATAACAATTTGTAAGTCTTAAAGTCATCAAACCAGACCTCTCATCCATTTCCTTCAACATGTTTGATGTTTATGTTTTCAAAAAATGATAGATGCAAAAATAAGGATATCCCAACAACAATTATTTTTAATAATAATATCTTAATAATAACACCTACAATTGTAAATTGTGGTTCTTATGATCAAAGTTTATCAATGGAAACATGAATAGCTTTAAACCTCTATTAGTGTTAGCAACCAAACAACTCATTGTGATGATCATAGAAAATTTGTACTCCACATATTTTTTCTTATATCAATTCTTTTCTTTATTCTCATTTTAAATTTCTTCCCTTTTATAGGCTGAAAAATATCAAAATCATCTGAATGCAAGAATGGAATTAACTCACTCCTAGTCACTCTAGGGGCAAAGAATGCTAATATAGTAGCAAACTCGACCTACTTCCACCTATCCTAGGCACCATAGCATGTTAGGAATAAGAGTAATTGAGTGAAGGGGATTAGCTTTGAATTTTGGGTGTTAGAGGAAGGTATGAGAGAGAGACTTAAGGGACCATTTTGTGAATATTAATTTTTACATAATAAAATATTAAAAATAATGATGAATTAAATTTCTGTTATTCAGCTCATTACTTAATAAAGTACAGTTGACAACAAAGACTAAATTTTTACATTTTAAAAATGTCACAAATTAAACCCAAACAATTTTTTAAAGACTTATATAAAATAATATCACTTTTATAGGGACTATAGTCATAATTCCAAACAATTTTTTAAAGACTTATATAAAATAATATCACTTTTATAGGGACTATAGACATAATTAAGTCTTAAAAAAATCACTTTATAAATATTCTTTAACCATATTCCTTTTCACTTCTCTTACAATATTTATTTGACAATTTGCATACATTTTTCTTTACATTTGTCATAACTGGAGTCACGACAGGACCGCAATCGTGTAGAGAAAGAGAAGACTCTAGAAAAAGGTTGCAATCAATTTAAGAAAGACTAATGACAGGAAGTTGCCACCAAAATTTATCAAAGAAAACTTTAAAAAAACTTTAATTAAGAAAATAATCTTCAAAACCAGATTAAGATTCGAAAGTTGTTTATGCATAAAGAAGGCATTAGTACCATACGACATCCGTTAAAAAAGTGGTTACATTTTAATTAATTTTATAAAATTATTTTAACTTTATAAGTATTTATTTCATTCTAAGAGAAAATAATTCCTATTTTTTATTTATTTAGAATTATAGCTTCATTTTTTACGTTTGCAATAAGAAGATATAATTTGTAAAATATTATTTTTTTATTTTTATAATAAAGGAATACAATTTTAGAAAGAAGATATAAAGAAATAAACTATGTACAATAATTGTTATTATTTATTTATTTTTCTATAAGGGGAATGAATTTAAAAATTATTTTGTCATTTTTTATTTTTAATTAAATAAAAGGTAATAATTTAATTTTTATTTTTTAGAAAAAGAAGAAAATTTTGAATCACGTTTTGTTAGCTTTTTTAAGATTTGAATCGTGTTGCCTTTTCTTTGATGTTCTTTGAAAATATGTACTTCAAGATTAATGAATTTTTTCAAAGTTTCTTCATGCTTCCAATACTCTTCTCTTTTTTCTTTTGTTTCAAGTATTCTCAAAGCTTTGATTTTTTCTAATCCTCTCTCTTTTTGTTTCTCATGCTCTCTCTCTTAAATTATCTCTCTCTCTCTTTTTCACTCTTTGTTTTCCAAACTCTCCCATTTTTGTTTCCCTTTTCTCTTTTGTTTTTCATGCTCTAAAAAAAGATGTCCTTTTTTTTAGGCTTCCTAATTATAACTACTTTTCAAAATCCTAGATTCCATTTTATTATTTTATATTTTAAAAAATAAAAGGTTCCTACTTCGTCATTTTTTGAGTACCATTAATCAACTCTCCTAAAAGTCTACCATTTCCAATTGATTTTTCCTCCACTAACCTAGTTATTTGACAATAAAAAATATCTATCTATTTTAAAATCCTAACCTCTTATAGAAATTTAAAATTTTAAATCCTATAGAATCTAATTTTTATTTTCTAAATTTTAAATTCATAATTCCTAACTTCCTATAGAATTTGATATTTTTTTTTTTTTTAAATTATTTAGATGGGATCCAAATAAAATTGAATATTCACAACATGTAAATATTGCTAACTCAAACTTGTATTAAAATAAACTCACATGCTTATCATTAAATGAGTCACTTATCTTTTAATTTAAATTCACAAATTTAAAAAGTACAAATTTTTTGAACTAACCTACAAGTCAAAGTTGCATATAAATATTTGAATATATTGAAACATTAAATTTATTTTATATACGACAAGCAAACATTCAAATTAAATCTAAAATTTTCATGATGTGATGATCACAAATTATATTTTTTTGCTCTCTATATAAATAGCACATTTTGATATGTCATTTTGAAAAAAGTTGTTAGAATTTAGTTCCTCATATTTTCAAAATATAATAATTTAATCTCTGCCATTAATTGTATTTTATTAAGTGATGAATTGGATAACAAAAATTTTGTTCATCAGTACAATGTCATAGTTATTTTTTATATTTTATTATTTACATATTAATATTTACCAAAATGTCCCTAACAATCATTTATATTATTTTAAAAAATATTAATAATTATTTCAAAATATCTTCTTCAACCTTGTTCCAATTACAAGTTATGAGCCTTGGAGTTGTCAAATCAAATCATTGGATAATTGTCCTAAGCAATGTTGGAACTAGTTGTATGGCTAAATTTACTACATTGCACATCCTCTTGCCAGACCTAAAATGGAAAAGTTGAAAAGCTAACTCTTATATCAATGAGCCCTTTGAAATCACTTTCACCAACATTATCTTTTTCTTCTTTTGACAATTATCTAATGTCTCAACATCATCATCCAATGTTACTTTCACTTTAACCTTTTTCTTAGTATAACTCAAAGGAGACACAAACTCTTGGACTTTTCCTTGCTTCAATTTAGATTTCTTTCCTTTGAATTTTTTTTTTTTCACAAAACATATCCTAAATCATCTATCCCAATAAATTTTGTTCTTCTTGCCTCCTTTGCCTTGGCTTTCAATTTAGCAATAGCTAACTCAACATTTTCATTATTTTCCTTCCCACTATGAGTCAACTGTTTCACCTTCGAGTCAAAATTTTTAAACTATCTAGTAATCCAATTCGAGTCAAATTTTTTTAAACTATCAAGTAATCTACATTGTCTAGTGGTTGGTGTTCCCTTCAACATGTTCACTTTTCACCTTTCTTAAACAAAATTTTATTTTTAGATATTGTCACACCATTCTTTCAACATGTTCGATGTTCATGTTTCTAGAAAATGATATATGCAAAAATTAGGATATCCTAACAGCAATCATTTTTAACAATGAAACCTTAAAACCACTTGCAACTGCAAATTATAGTTTGTCACAACCCCTTTTTAGAAAGATCTGTGACATACTATCCAATTAAAATCTATATGAATTTTAATCATTTTAAAAGAATCAAGATTTAACTCATGTTGATTAATAAAAAAATATATGCTCAACATTTCAATAATAAAATAAGGATTAAGGGCTTCTTCATAAAATAATGAATATATACATATATAATTATTCTATGACAGTATTTAAATAAGAGTCACTTTATATGAAACTCAAAATACAATTTATAATCAAAATTTACATTTCATAATCAAATCTGTAGCCAAATAGTCTAGATTCACAACTAAGACCTAGACTAACAAAAGTAAAGTTATAGATTTCAAAAATCTTTGACTCAGACCATTTCTCAGTCAGACTCTATCGCATGGGAAGTAGGTGCTCCACATGTCACTTCTGCTTACATACTACAGTACGGTCAACGCAACACACATGCCAACACAAACAAAATGTAAGAGTGAGCTTACGCAGCAAATAATCATAAAATGCAAAATATAATATAATTGTTTATACAACTTAATATATATGTCAATAATTCTTAGCTAATCAATGCAGCATGTTTAGCCCATCTAATGCAAATAAAACAGCTCAGTTCTAATTAGTTTCACGATTTAAGTAATCTATAAGAAACTTACAATTTTTCAATCTGGGAGTGACCCATCTCGATATCTGAATCTAGACATAGCACAATTCAGCATTTTCCTACCATTATATGTCTAACCATCTAAACATGTAACTTGACTTTAGAATAATAAAATTAGCATAATGCAACACAGGTATATATATAACATTTTC